GGGGGGGGGGGGGGGAGGACACAACCTGTGGCCCATCTGAAGCCCAGGAGACACAACTTAGCACCCCAGAAGCCACATGCAGCCCCAGCCCACAGGCTACCAGTTGGCTCTAGGCAATTTATGGAGCGGTCATTATCATCTCTCTGTAATATAAAACTTTTCAAATACTCCTTTCCTGAAAAGTATAACCTGGTCACCAGCAAAGAATTAGCCAAAAGGCACAGTTGTGAGATAAATACAGAAATGATAGGGCCTCACCTCCATTGTCTCTCTCATAGATCTACAAGTTCACTACCAGTCCTCTACCTGAAATAGTTCTTGGAGGGGATGATTCAACCCCATGTTTTTATACATTTTTACCACTAGTTAGTGTTTATCCATTGCAACAATAAATTGAAAACATGCCATAAACCATCAACTCTCTCGTTAAGTAAAAGAATTTATATAGTTACCCAATATTTTAGGAACACTATAGCTTAATGCTTGGAAGAATAAATCATTGTACATGACATATGGTAAAAATGGCAGGCTCCTATGCAATATGAAATATAACACTTCCTTTTAATTTGTTTTGTTCTTTTGTTCATTCTTCTGTTTTGTAAATCATTCTGTTCTCTTATGGTAAGACACCTTGAGCCTTTGTTGGGAAGGGGCACAATAAAAATCAAATATATAACTAAATATTTTTCTGATGGCAAGAGGTTTACATATGAATAAAATTACGCTAACTGTAATTTATGCAGTAATTTTTTAAAAATAAAATTGCATCTACAGCATCAAAGTCCATCTCTAAAACTGGATTTTTTTTAAATTTAAGAGACATGTAATAACATATGGAAATCTAGCACTATAAGAGAGAGAGAGAATACATTTTTCAACTATTGCTAATCTGTAGAAAGTTGAAGTGTAATCCAAACATCCATACTATGTGTCATCTTTGTGAGAATCTGCAATTAGCCATGTCCAAATGGGTAGCAAACATTCACAACTCCCATATATATTACTGGAAGTTGTGGATTCTCAGCCTATCTAGGTATCATCAAGCCCCATACAGCTTTTAAGGAGTTCACCTGGCTATTTTGATATGTTCTTGACTTCTCACACAGGCAAGAGTAAACAAAATACATCTCGAAACCAAAACAATCTGGGGGCAGGGAGAAGGCGGGGGGGGGGGAAGAACAGTTGCATTTTTCTGGATATAGTACAAATTTGAATATTTACCTTAACATGAGGTGCAGTAAAAGTAATAACCTGAGTGCCATTTATTAAGCTTGTAGTAGTAAATGATAATGTTTTATCTTCCCCATTTACAGTAACTGCTATTTGCGGCTTCCCATCCAGGCTTAGAATCCTCCACAAATCCCACGTTTTCCCAACCTTAAATCTCTGAGTGGAGACAAACACATATGATGGAGGAAGGCCTTCTGGAAACACATTCCTGGGGAGGGAAAGATTCTAAATGGATGAATTCTGAAACAAAACTGCCCTTATTTCAAACAAAGTATTGTGTCTCGCTTTTTTTTTTTCCTAAACAACTTTCTAAAATTCAGTACCTTGTAAATTCTGTTAAGTCAATACGTGATGTTATTTCATAAGCTTTTGCATTAGAAGATGGAATCTGAATTTTCTTTTTAACCTTCTTCTTCACACCCAATCCTGTGAGAATATCAAATCCTTTTTCATCTCGAGATGCTACTGGAATTCTTGTTGGACAAACAGATTCTGTGAAGTAATAAGCATACAGAGCAGCTAACGTGTGGTTCAAAATACAATTCAGAGGAAATATGTAACAACAACTCTAGTACGTGGACTTAAGCAATCAATTCTAAATACTCTAAACTACCATTCAACAAGCATTTGTTTGACAAATTATGTAAGTTTTTATTCAAAAGTTCATCTTTTCCATTTGAAAGCCAAAACACTATGTGGGGGGGAAGACAATTTTCTATGTCAAATATTTTATTTTCTTTCTTGGAATACTTCAGAGGAGTATGAATAATAAATGAAACCTGAAGTAAATAAAAAGAGTCCAAGAATGGAAGGAAATGGAAGTTCCATCATGTTTCCCTTTCCCAGGAGTCCCCCTAAAGTGCATTCATACAGTACTAAACATTTTGGAATTCTGAGACTCTGTGGGCACATGTACACATGCAATTAATGTGACTGAATAATCTCCAGTGCAATCTGTGCTGGTGTAAAATTAATCCCAACACCACCATCTACAAGTGTGTTTAAGCACAGTAATTTACTCCACTGTTGGATAGTACCCGTGTCTGACAGGACTATCCTATCTGGAGTAAATTTGTCTACTGCACCTTAATTGCAGCACATGTGTAGATGGCACAGGTGGACATTGGAGCAGATGGATGTGCATGCTCTTGGAGACCTGATGGATGTGTCAGCTCTATCAGCAAGACTATTTGAGCTCAGTTTGCCTACCGCAGGCAGGATTTGTTCCCTTAGGAGCTCCTCAGCCAGTTCTCCCAAATAAAACACAATCTTTAAGCAACAAGCAATAATAAGTAAGCCAATAAACAAACAGACAGCCCTGTAGCAACCTGTTTTCACAGTCACAGTTGCATCTAGTGCAACCCCCAGCCTGACGCAGAATCAGTCCTATCCAACAATCCCATATAACCATACTCTAAACTCTACATAAGACTACCCTCAACCCTGACACAACACAGACCTAACACCCTAACCTGCCACAGGTAAAGCAGGGGAACCAAACCCTTCTGCCCTGTCCCAGGAACTCCTTGGCTCTGGCCCCAACACAGCAGCCTGGCCCCTCCTTGTAAAAAGAGGTTTTGCTCACAGCCTTCTTCCTCCTCTTCTGCTTATTCTTTTGGGAACTTTTAAGGTCTTGGAAGGACACTGTCAAATGTCCCACACCTGGGCTTTCCCAACAAGGCTGAATGTTGCCTCTTAAAAGAACATACCACCCCATTACAGATATGTAATATGAAGCATAGTGATTTTGGCAGATGTGTAAAATTTATATTTAGGGCTCAACTCTATCAGCTATTTTTGGCAGCATATCAGCCACTCTAGATAATCAGCAGCAGACACTATTCTCTGTTTCAAGGGACATATACATCTAGGTAATTGCTATTTTAAGCATTAAATAACTAGCCAACATCAATTCCTTCTCAAATTCATGGGACTGATGCCCTAAAAATGCCTCTTGATGCAAGTGCATGCATAACCAGGTATTCTGGCATTACTCCAAGGAATTGTGTCTTTCCCAACATGGCGTTCCAGGAACATTTAGATAGATGGTGTCCTTTTCCCACTACGGGAATGATACAGGTGTCACCATCCAATTCTGATGACTGATATTGACAAGTCCAGCTACGTGAAAAAAAAATTATAAAAGAAAGGAGAGAGTGAGAGCGACTAACACCTTCATTTAACTGATTCGTGTAATCAATGTATGATCAGCTTTCCTCTCACTCTGCCAGAGAGAACAGAGCTCTGAACAAACCTTGGGATTTTATAAAAAAGAAAGAAAGAAAGAAAGAAAGAAAGAAAGAGAGGCCTTGGAGAAGTGCAAAATAGAAGAATCACAGATAAGCAAACAATATTTTACAGTGCAGAAGCTATTCCATCCAAAAGGGAGTTCAACAGCATATTATTCTAACATAACAAAAGCCTTAGTCTGTCTGTCCGTAACGCTCTGGCCAACTGTGCATGTGCCGCCAAGAGGGTGCATCATGCCGATTGGCTATGAGGGCCTGGAGCGTTACAGACAGAGGGGGTGATGGAAATGCTGCACCCTACCCCCACAACAGCCAGCAGGGAGGGGGAGGCTGCAGGGAAGAGGGGAGAAAGGGAGGGGAGAGGAAGAGGGCTGCCACCACCGCCTGGCCCCGACAACAGCCAGCAGACAGGGGGAGGAAATGTTGCCCATTGATGGGGGACACGGGGGGGGACACAGGGCTGGAGGTGGAGCGGCAGCACCATGGGGTGCTGGGTGGCAGTGCTCTGTTCTGCCCCCTGCCCCATCATTCATGCTGGGCAATTTGCTAGTTAAAAATAATTTAAGAAATTCTAAATATGCTATAATAGGAACGCAGATACTTAGATGTCTGAAAGAGGTGCAGAAAATCAAAAGGATGGTTCCTACTTGCACAAATATACTCTTTGAAATTTTTTTTATTTATTTATTTATTTTTATTTTAAAGCAATTGTTCATTTACCTTAGCAGCTGCCAATATGCTAAGCAAAATATGGTAATGGTATGCAAAAACTTGTGAGATATAAAAGGGGGATGTAAGCAAAGAGTGTAATGATTTTGACTGGAAACAAAAACAGAAACTAATTTTGAGAACCTTAACTGGTAACAAGCTTGAGTGTTTGTTTCCTTTGTAAACTAACAATTTTAATTAATTTAGCCTTCTTACTGTAAAATATTTTCTCACTCCAAAACAAGACCTACATATATACCTCTTTTCCATTTACAAGGCTAGTGTTTTGACTTCTTTGCCCTTAACATGTTTGCTATAGCCTACAGCAAAATCTACTTTTAAACTATTTTCACTGGACAAAAGTGGTCTGATGCACTTTCTGAGGAAATTAAAGTTGGCTGGCTTATCTCATTTTTTTCTGTTCAAACAAAAACAATACTAGGCAGTAGACCTAAAACGCTTATTTAAAAAATGAAATTAGGAGCAAAAGCCAACTTTTATCAATGAAGAGAAAAAAACTAAATAAATTTCCTTTTATTATGATAGAAACCATTTATTGTAAATATATTTTTCATTAGTAATTTTTCACTGTTATATAGGAAAAACTCAGTTCATAGAAAGGAAAAAAAAGTTAGGAATAAATTCCAGAAGGAGGGGTGGAGGGTTCTCAGATCTCCATCTGGACCAGCCATGGTTTTGAGCCAGGTGCTACGAAGGAAAAATCATATTTCAGTGCCAGTAAATTATCAACAGAGGTCTAGACTGTGACTAGCCCTTGCTCCAATATCAAGAGAACAGAAGAACATACAGAGCCTTTTCCTTTAATGCACTCCCGATCAGCTCTCTCAGAAGCAAGCCATAATTGAAAACACTGCATTTTTCTGACTCCACGATAACACTCTCTGAGAGATGTCCATCCCTAAAAATCTCTCCCCAGCCAAGAAAGCAGTACCAAATGAATCCCCTAACCAGTGAATCTCAACCTTTTTAGACCCAAGGCACCCTTTGTTACACTTTGTGACACCCTGTGGAAATTGCTAGCTTTTGGCTTTCACTCACTTTTTGGGGCACAGAAAAAAACCCTCAGAATTATTCTCAGAAAGACCACAACAGGTCAAAATATAGATCCTGCCAATGCAGCACAAGGTTCTTTCTTGACTCCTACTGCTAGGGAGGCAGAAGCAACTCAGAGCAGACAGATGCTGTGGCAGGACACCTTTGGTTCCTGCCACTTTAAGGGCCTGAGCAAGCTGCAAGGCAGCCTGCAGGTGACTGCAGAGCCAATCAGGTGGTCACATAACAGCCAGCAGGCTACCTGATTAGAGCTGGGCTGCAGAGCCTCAGAGTAAGAGCAGGCCCTGAGAGGTAGAGCCTGCAGTTGCTGCAGGGATGCCATGGAGGTAACATCATTGACTTGAGAGCTGCCGCTCCCAGGTACATCTGGAGGTCTAGGATAGGAACTACAGAGCTGGAGGAGGTTCCTAGGGACCCAGTGGGGTCCCAAGCCCCAGGGACAAGGCTTTGGGCGTAGAGAGAGCAAGGCCTAGCCTAGAAGGGGCTTATAGCTTGTGGATCTACACAGAGGCTAGGCAAACCCCTCATTAGAACTGACAGGGTGCTGTTTTTATAGAAGGTAGCCCTCTATTCAGGTGAGCCCAGTTGAGTGGACAGCTGCCTCCTATAAGATCTCTGGGGCTCTAGACAATCCCAGTAAGAGATGGCCATTTATGGTGGAGCCCAGAGAAGGACCTCAGTGGAACAAGAGGGTGAGCTGTTGCTGCACTGATGCCAGGGTATCCTGACTAGTCCAGGCTAGGACCTGGACCTGAGGGGCAGAAGGACAAGCATGCCCACAGTGAGGGGCAGGCCAGGGCTGCAGAGAGTTATCTGGTACCTCAACTGGTCTGGAGAAGACTTGCCAAGAGAGAACACCCAGGAGTCCGTAGGGGCAAAGAAAGACTAGGGCAGGTAGGCCTGCAGTGGTCCTGGGGAATGACTTAAAACTACACCCCACTGGGGTTGGATGGTGTGGTGGGGCTGCTTGTGGCAGGGCAGCTTCTAGGAAATGCCACACCTGTGCATCCCCAGTCAAGGGCAAGCATTGACTCCACGGAGTACCCGCAAGGCAGTGGGGGGCTGAGGCTAAGGGAGCACACCCTGACAGAAAAGCACCAGGCTTGGGCAAGATCATGAAAGCCAGGAGGGTCCAAGGCCTGATAAAAATGTGGCCTAGTGAGAGGCCTGAAGGAGAGAGAGGTCCAGGTATAGCATGAACTGAACTAATGTAGCTCATGTTAACATAGAGTGTAACAGTAGTGAAATGTAACCATGTTAGTTTTGTCGTGTAAGTAACCTGAAAACTCCATTTTTGTACTCTTTTGCTTGACATAAGTGAATGAACTCTGTATGCCCTTTTTGAATGAGTGGATGTGAATGGTGAGAGAATGGCATAGAAACGGGAGAAGATTTAACTATTTATTTGTAAGCAACAAGGCGCCCAATGTAAGTTACCAGTCAGTAACTAATTAATGGATGGCTGAAGAATCCTTTTGAGGCCTAAGACACAACAGGAGATAACGAGGAGGAGAGAGGCGCACATCCTGCCAGATGGACATCAAGGACACTCCAGGGCTGAGATGAGAAGAGGACGAGTGAGAAACAACTACAACAACAGAAGCTGGGTATGGAAAAACCCCAAAGCACTGAAACAAAAGATGCCAATCCCTATAGAAGTAATACATGTATATCTATGGACCTTGAGGCCCAAGTGGGCCATAGGCCAAGAGTGAGATCCAGGCACATCAGCAGACACCACAGGCATGCGGGGTATAAGGCCCTGTAGCCCCAGTGAGGGAGTGGAGCCCTACTGAGGGGTAAAGTGTGAGGGGCTAGAAGCCTGTTGAGAGGCATAGAGCCCAGAGCATGAATTGAGGTCCCAGTAATGGTGCATGAGGCCAAGTTAAGTCTTCGGACGCCTGAGGCCGAGTTTGGGCCAGAGGCCAAGTGTGGCTCAGCAATGAATCCGGGGCAGTTATAGTGGACAGTTTGGGCCACTGGCCTACTGTGACCCAGCTATGGGGCCGGACAAGTTGGGAGTACTTTGGATGCCATCTGTGAGATATGGGAGGTCAGAGCCATGAATTGCACCCTTGGCATCGCAGCATTAAAATGGGCAGCCTCCTGCCTAGAAACATCTATTTATTTTACAGCAAAGCCATGGCAGCAGAGTCAGATGGACAGACTACCTTAGACAGGTGGGCAGGCCAATACTGTGACTGGCCCAGGGGATGGCCTCCTGTCATAGATAAACAGTATCGGTCCTTATGACATCATATACATAGATTCCAGAATCGAGTTTCCATTTATTCTGTGGGTGATGGCACATGGACCAAAACCCCAAACCAATCTTTGAAAACTGAAAAATAAAGTCTCCACAGTTAGGTCAAATACAGTTTTAACTCATTCGTATCAAAGCACAGATGCACGCTTTAGTCTATGCAGTTCTAATATGATACTTTATCCTTTTTTTTCCCAGCTGGTCATTTAGAATATTTCAAATATGCACACACAGTAAAATCTGAGAGCCATTTGTCCCAATGCAGTTATGATGAAGGTGTCTATAAGTAATGTAAACAGGAGCTACCCATTGGGTGCATCTACATTTGTGCTTTAATGCAGAGTTAATTACCTCCACAGTACAGCTTCACAATCTACATGTGCATCTGAATTAGGGCACAGTAAATTAAGTCTGCCATAGGATAGTACTTATCCCAGACAGTGTTATCCTACAGCAGCAGAGTACTTACATGCACTTAAATGCACACGTAGACTGACTAGGGCTGGCTGGGGTATGAGAGTGTTACAATGTGGGGGCTGCCTGCTGGCTAGACCCACACTGTAGAAGCCTCATGCGTCAGCCAGCATCTCTGCCACATGATGGCACTGCACAGAGGCCAACGCTGACCTCTCCTCCTCCCCCGCCCCCAGATCTCCTGCCATCACAGGGCTGCTCTGCTCTGGCTCAAACAGCTGCAATCCTAGGCACACATGAAGATGCTATGCCTGGAACCAAATTACTCCAGCATGACCTGCACTGGAGTTCACTGCTACATGCTAATTGTATGTATAGATGCACCCATTAACACTGATAAAAGAATTAAAGACAAAAACCTAATCTTAGTTATTGAAATCAGGACCAGAGGAAGAATAAAACGCATTCAAAAGTTTCTCTCTCTCAAATCATGAAGTTGGTCCAATAAAGAGGTATTACCCCAAAAAAATCCCTGCCTCTCAATTCCTGAATGGTCATGGCTACACCACTCTATATCATTTCTTGCAAATTTATGCAATGAAAATAACCTATACATCAATATTTTGAAAAACTTCTCCATGCTTGAAGTTTTAAAATAAAGATACTTTGTTTCAGCTGACTTTAGTTTTCAGTTGGCTTGCTTCCGTAGTTTAGTTATAGCCTATTACATATGCTGGACTATTGTAATTATACATGTACCAAGAGACAATATTTATAACTGAGGTTAAAAAAGTTTGTACTTTTTTCAATGAAGACCACATTTTCAAATTTAAAAAAGAGTAAACTTACTTTTTCTCTTGCTGAGTGAAGAAATATTGGAAGTACATCTTTCAGTAACATTTGATATTATAACAAGCTCAATAAATGTACCACTGATGTATACCATAGCAGTTGTAAAACTGAGTCCATCTGAGCAATGGATTTTGGAAGCAATTTGCTTTCTTTTTTTTCTTTTTTAATAGAAGCATCATTGTTTTTCAAAGTTATTATACAAAAAATTCATTCAAATGCAAAAAAGACACTGTCAAGTATTGTTTTGCCTGATTCTTCTGGAAAATGTTCTTTAAAAAACAACAACAAAAAAAGAATGCAAAATACCTTGGCTAAAGCCATTGGAACTGTAATAAGCCCAGCTCTCCTGGGCTTTTCCGGGCACACTAGCAGAAGCACTTATATTATTAATGTGAGTTTATCTTCCCTTTTGTTAGGAGGTGATAAGAAACGGGCTATAGACTTAAAATAAATCCCCTCAGGAAGAGAACTGATGGCTATGTCAACATAAATCTAGCAAAAAAACTTTAAGCATTAAGAGAGCTCCAGTCATTTATATTACAAATTCTTTTTACACCAGAGGCAGGGAGAGGGATTAGATATAAAACTGCATATACAACATGTTAGTACATTGTGTCTTCTCAAACTTACTTCTTTTTTTGAATGGGAAAAAAAATATTCAGAACTCATTATTCTAGATCAAATTCTTGTAAAGTCCATTAAGGAGCTAACCAAGATTTTATTTCACAAGTGGCTAAGCTGTACACTTATCAAAAGAACTACTCGGGAAAAAAAACACTATAATATGCATATCCGAGTGCACATGACAACATTTTAAAAATGATGAGTACCAAAGATTCATTAACATTTACCTTCACAGAGCTTCTGTTTTATTACTTCTCTTATTCTAGAAATTGCAATATAATCTTCAACATAGAATACATAAGTTGATGAGGGCTTGTTGGCAATAGCTCTAAGTTCTTCCTCCTCAATTTCTGAGCCAACACCAATAGCAAACAAAGTGATTTTGTTTTTTCTTGCCTCTGCTGCTGCATCTTTAACTTCATCTTGGGATTTGCCATCAGTGAGAACAACAGCTATTTTAGTTAGAAACCTTGAGGATTTGGCAAAAAGATAGTCAATCGCAAACTGGATAGCTCTTCCTGTTCTTGTATTTCCACCTAAATAGTGTATGGATTCCATTTCACGGATTAGGTTTTCACTGGATACATGACTTCCTAGAGGGATTTCAAGTATAGGGTAATCACTATACTGAACTACTCCAACTTCTATAAATTTTGGCCCTATATCAAAATTACTTGTAATATTTACAAGCCATTTTTTGATTATTTCAAAATTTTCTGGGCCAACACTATAGGAGCCATCCAAGATGAAGACTAAATCCACTGGAGCAGTTCTGCAACCTAAAAACAGAAATTATAACAGTAATTTTAGCAGTCTTCTTTTCCACTACATTTAAAAATGATATATAACAGTAATTGCATGTAATATAGCCAACAGGCCCAAACATACTACCTGTTCTTTATTTATAATTCTCATATCAAAACCTACTAAGCTTATTAGAAAGGACATGATTTTTGCTGTTGGTTCTGCAGACTTAGATTAGTATTTGATAATCATTTTGTGCATTATCACCAGTCATAACAGACAATAAAAATTCTGGAAATCAGAAATGCAGCTGGCAACTGCATTTGATGCATGGGACAGAAAGAATGCATCTTTATTTTCTAAACACATATTTGTCTTCATTAACGACAATAATAATACACACTTACATTTGGCAACAACGTGATTTTTCCAGAATCACAATCATATTTCAAAATGTATTAAATAGCTATAGACATTATGCATATATAGCAGTAGTTATTTAAAAGCTTTCAGCCTCAATCGAGTGTTACTGACAGCGTATTATATTCTTAGCAGATGACACATGCTGTATAAGAGAACAATAAATCTTGTGTTCATGGGAACAGGAGATGAAGGAGGATGTTTTATGCTTACAGAGTATATTTCCACTGCATAATGACACTTGCATAGAACTTTCAACACTGACATTCTAAATTCTGTTATGTAAAAGATTCTCCTAAAGTTTTCTAAATACTGTGATTTTTGGAGAAGAGACAATGCAGAGGACAATTTCAAAATAATCAAAAAGCAAAAGCACCACTGCTTTGCACACTTAGGCCCAAATTTCTTATAATTGGGTAAACAGGACTTAAGTGACTAAAGTTAGCTGAAAAGGGTATATTGAGCCACTTTACGCTCAAAAGGGATCTACTCAAGTCAATTGTCCTCTGTTGCAATCTTTTTCCACCCAGGACAACACAAACTTCCATGTAAATCCCCAAAATGTCATTCACAGGAAAATCATGGCTAGAGACAGTTTGATACTAAAAGAGAAGAAAGAGCCTTCTCTTTTAAATTAGTGGTTGGGTACTTGCCCAACAGATGGACAGACCCAAGTTCTAGGTCTCCTTCATCCAGAAGGGTTGGAACCTATATTTTCTATTTCCAGAGGACCCTAACTAGCATGCCATGCCTTTGGCAGGGCCAAGAGCACCTTCTACTTGCTCTGTTCAAGCTTGTGCACTTAGCAACCATGAGAGAGAGAAATTTGAAGCCTAAAGAAGAGGAAGCCAGAGGTTATCTGACTCTGGTGATCAATGAGAGAGGCACTGCAGTAGAAGTAGGAAAGAGGCTCTGACCCTGACTATGGCCCCACTGCTATATCTATTCTATCCAGTAACAATTAAATGCAAAATGCAGAAAAAACACTGGGAGTATAACCAGGAATTCCTCCCTAATGACAGTTTTTCTGTGGCACTCTTTCAAGCTGCTGTGCCCCGGGTTGACGCTGCACCTGGGGCCATTGTCTCACTCCCAGGGCTTCAGGGGCCCAATTCTGCAGGACAACAGGGACATTGTTTTTTCTGATCAGTCAGGCCCCCTCTACACATGAAGTTAAAGGCATGATAGGATCTAATAGGTACCTGTAATATTCACAGAGTTTCATGCCATCACAGAGGAGTAGAGTCTAAAAATTGACATAAATTGCCAACAATGCCATTTGCATGGCTCACTTTACACAAATTAGTGCTACTTATGTTGGATTTGGCCCTTAGCAAGTACATATCCCTTAGAAATTTTCCGTTAAATTACAGCTCCATCATTAGACACCTAATATTTTATGTCTTCAGAAAAAAGAGATCTTTAAATGGTAGGCAATCACGTATCAGGGATGTTTGATCAGTGAAAATTACATGCAAAAAATGTATGTGGACCTGAATGCAATGGTTGTTTTTAACTAGCCATAATAAGAAAGAAGGAGCATCTCTTACTTGCTCTTGTTTCACCATCTTCAGCAGTGATGTAATCCTGAAGTAGCAGAATTAAAACTGCCTGAACAAACTTTATGATCTGTGCCATGTATACTGTATTTCCAATGCCTTGATTCCCAAATTAAAACTAGGGGGAAAAAAAACAGCACGGTTAAAATTTTAAAAAATAATACATCTAAACTATTATACTTTGCCACTTGTGCATCAAAGATTACTTTGGACCATGCCCAGCAATGTCCGTTTATTCACACGAGTAGTCCTAAGATTAGATTCAAAGTAGAACTGGGCACATAACCATCTCTTGAGACACCTAAACCCAACATTTAGATACTCAAAAACCTTTTTCAGGTTGGAGGCAACTAGAATTCCTTAGGCACCTAAATTTCTACCAGACACCTACACTCTGCTGCTAGGCAAGTAGAAAATTACCATAATCAGCACCTGGTCAGACTGGCAACCTATAGGCAAAATTCTATGGGATGACCAAAGTGCAGCTTGTAACAGTTTCTGAGTTTTCTTAAATTGAAAGAGGCAAGGGTGGGTGGCAAAACAGGATAGCATTCATTTAAGAAATACATAGGCTTTTGTCATAACATCTGGACAAAGCATGCTGTTGCCTATGAAAGTTTGTACAAATCAGGTAAGCAAGCTCATGAGAGGAATGGGAACTGGGAAGTTAATCAGTCCTTAGAAGTCTCTCCAGCGATTCCGTGGATTTTCTAGGCACTTAAACCTGGATCGCCCTAATGGTGCAATATGCCTACATTTTAGGCATTTAAACACCTAAATGTAAGTACAGGTTTCCCTTACTTTATGCTGTACATATATGTTCCTGGAAAATGGCACACAATTCAAATTGGCGTAAAAGGAACCTACTTTACAACGTAACAAATAGGGATACGTTCCAAGACCTTGACTGTACTGACCCCCAGGCCCATTTCTACCACTTGTACAATACAGGGCATGGTCTGTATGTTCCATGTTGGGATGTGGCAACATGACATCCGAGCCAAGGAATCTCCTATAGAGGATTCCCAGGGCACACGTTCAAGCAGCTGTGCCCCGGGTTTGCACAGCACCTGGAGCCACTGTCCTGATCCCAGGGCTTCAGGGACCCAATCCTGCAGAACAGGGACATCTGTTTTTGCTGATCAACCAGGCCCCCTCTACACATGAAGCTAAAGACATGACAGGATCTAATATGTACCTGATGCACACAATCACGCCTCCTGCCATGATGTGCGCAACAGGAGGCACAACTGTGGAATTGTGCATTAGACCACATTGCGCCTTATTACTGGTACGGGGGGAGCCCAATCCTAGCTCCCACAGCAGCAAGCTCCTGCAGCTGGAAACCCCATGGACAACAATCGTCCAGCCCTGAGAGCTTCCTGCACACCTAAACCCTAAGGATTGCAGGAGCCATTATCTCCAAGGTCCGGGGCTTTCCCACACCTGCAAGCCCTAGGGATTATGGCAGCTGTGATCCTCAGGATCCAAGGGTTTCCCACACTCCCAAGCCCTGGGAATCTCTTCAGTTTTTAAACTGGGTATGGTACACCCTTAAGGCTAGGAGGTCCATCAGCTGACAGGGCACCCTACTGCAGGGGACACCCTGCTACACTTGCAAATTAAAAGCTCAGTATAAACCAGCTATAAAGTTAAGTTTGACCTTGAAAGTGTGAACTAATAGCTGGATGAAGCTTTTTGTGCAATACCTAATTTGCACACGTAGCTGGTCTTCAGATCACTGCACAATATCCGTAACATATAGAGGAACCTCAGATAAGCTGTGCCAGGACACATCCACAACAAAAACAACATCTGCTTTTAGCCTATAAAGGAGATCTTATCTTAGTATTACCATAAAAAAAAATCATTTATCATAAGTCACTTTCACAAACTGAGGTATCAGACAGGGAAACACTGAATTTCATGCGTATGTCAATACTGCAAGAAGTTGTCATGGTTAAGTAGTATTTCCCTGAAAGTTCTGTAGATGGATAACATAGGACTAGATCCATAAGATGGTCCAGTTTTCAAAGCCTAACACTTGAGTCCACTGTGAAAACTACAGTCTTGAGTAAATTAAGCTAAGTTCTTAGGATGACATTTCTAGTTCATCTAAGCATCCAGATTTGGTAATCTACAGAGTATTTCTGGTCATCTAAGTGAAAAAAGTGTGTCACCGACAAAGAGATTGGCATTTTATTCCTAGACGTGTAGCATTGTGCATATGGATCACTATGCATGGCTACGTACTTGCACATAAGGGTGCATTCATAGAGGATTCAGTGGTATGATTACACCCCTCCCTATTTCAGACCATGCCACAGAAGCAGCAGCCAAGGGCTTTTTGAAGTGCTCAAAGCAGGTAAGTATTCCTGACTCCCCTCTGTACTCAGCAACACATCCATTCCCCAACCAACCATTCTGCCCCTCTCCCACCCACTACTGCCACTGTTACCTGCTGACCCAGGGAGTAAGGGAAGCTCTAGAACTTCTCCTGCCCCATTCCAGCTGGGTTGTTCAGGGGCCAGTTCAGCTGGGGACTCCAGCAGCAGCAGAAGGGTTCCTCTTCCTTTCCCGTGGCTGTTCCCCATTAGCCTGGGAGCAGGCTCAAGGAAGGGGAATGTTACTGCCATTGCTGTTGGTTGAGCTCTGCTCCCCAAGCAACTTCTCTGGAGTAGGGCAAGAATGACACTGGAGCAGCCCCTGCCCCTGGGTTAGCCAGAGCCAGCAGCAGCAGACAAATGTGGGGATGTGCCAATAAGACCAGAAGGGAAATGTGAGGGTGTCAATGGGGAAAACAAAATTCCTAGCTGATTTGAGCACTTAAAAAGATCCCCCACAACAGCTCTTTCAACCCCATAGCTCAATGGCTACAGCACTCACCCGGGAAACCAAATTCATACCCCTCTGGATGAGGGGAGCTCAGAACACAGGCCCTCCAGATTTCTAGCCAAGTTAGCTCACTGAGCTATACGGGGAAAAAAAAAAAAAAAAAAAAAAAA